GTTTGTTTGTTTTTTAAGATTTATTTATGCTTACAGAGCTGGGGTACAGGCCAGAGGTGCAGGGGCCATGAGAGGATTCACCAGAGAGTGGGGAGCATAGCAGGCAGATCGAGGGAAGCAGCAGGCGGGTCAGTATGCCATGCCATGTGGGTCACCTCCAGGGCAGGGATTGAACTCATGCTGAAATGGCTTAAGCTTCTTAGAACTGTGCTTTAACCTGCTGCACCACCAGGGAGGGCCCAGTACAAGCCTTTTTAAAACAACCATTTCAAGAAACAATAGCTATTCCCCTGTTCATCTTCATACTCTGTACGTTTGTAGCTCTTCTACTCTGAAATGTTTGTTGCTGTTGTTGTTGGAAATAATCACATTATTTCTGGGGGTGATACTTCAATCATTATATTAAGAACTTTCTAAAGCCAGGGAGTCTGAAGCATGGCCTTTAATCTCCTGTCCCAGTGCCCACTACCAGGCTTCACTCTGTTGGTGTTTGGCAATAAAGAAGCAAGTGTGTGATGTTACAGTTGTAAACCAAAGAGCCAGCAGTGATGGTGGCATTTGTTTCAAGATCTCTGACAGCTGTCAGGTGTAAGAAAACTAACTTTATAGAGGTATGCAGAGAATCTTAACAGACAGTGACTGCTTTCTTTTTTAGCCAGACTTTCCTCTTTCATACCCTTTTGAGTCCATACAGTGATGAGTAGGAGTTTGAGTGGAGGAGACTTCACTCAAACAGGGACGTTTGATGGATCTGGTACCTGTCTTCTGATCTTCAGTTTTTGTTTTGCATTTGATAAGTCTTGTAATTGAATCTGAACTGACACAAAAGTATCAGGTACCTCCATCTCAGATGTGACTGATGGGTGCTGAAGTAAGTTAAGTGTGTTGGAAGAGATTTTAGTTTACAAAAACAACATGTGATGGTTGGAGTACTTCATGAGTTTGCTGTTCAAGCCTGTTTTGGTTTGTTTATTTTTTCCTCTGATACTATAATAAAGGAAACTTTTAATCATGGTTCTGAGTTTTCAACCTCTGTATGTACAGGAAAATATATTTCTATAATTTAATAAACTGGTTTCATAGGAATTATAAATCATATGTTTTTCAGAATGTTCATTTGGTAGCCAAGTGGCTAGGAACATTGGAGAAGCTCCTTGAAAGATTCAGTCAAGTTGGCCACAGAGATTATAGAGTTTTCATGAGTGCTGAGTCTGCACCTACACCCAATGAACATATCATCCCTCAAGGACTCCTGGAAAATTCCATTAAGATCACTAATGAGCCCCCCACAGGAATGCTGGCCAATTTGCATGCTGCTCTCTACAACTTTGACCAGGTAAGAAAGCTGCCTGGAGAACAAAGTGGCTCCTCACAAGGCCATCTGCTCATACTCACCACGCAGGGGAACGAGGTGAAATCTTGGGGGGGGCAGGGGTGGCACACTGATCTCTTCACAGATTTGCTGGTGTCATCCTCTATTCCTACTGCTAGAAAATATATTTGTTTCACCCTAAAGTAAGAAACTGCAACCACAAATTTAAGTTCTTTGTTTTTTGAAGAACTCACTTGTTGAAGACAAATGTGTCAGGCTAGCGTCTCTTACCTCAGAAAGAGGAAAAGCTATTGTTATTCTTGTTGATGTCGAGGTTGATAGCAATAATAACTTGGAAGAGCTTTAGTGTAATGCTTAGTATTTTGGCTCTAGTTTTAATATTAGTAAATTTAAACTCCTTTTCAGATGGTAACCATACTGCCTTCTTGTTTTTATATTTATTTCTTTCCAAAATAAAATATAAATAAGTTAGTGCATATGTAAATTAGTGATATCTGCATTATTGGCATTCTCCTCCAAATGGTCATATCTATTTGTAAATAATCAGGTTTTCAGTTTTGTTTGTTGCTATTTCTTTGAATTCTATTCCTGCCTCTAATTCTGGGAGCCCCTTAGTAAATAATATTTTTCTTGAAAGATGAATGAGTCTTAAAAAGGAAACATAAAACATTTGGTGATAAATATTTAGCCCCCCTTGTGAGAAGTGTTACTTCCTATGAAGTATGTCAACCTGCTTAGCTTTTCCTATAGTACCTTCTCCACCAGTACTCAAACCAACAGCATGTATACTAAATTGTCCAACTAAGGATATTGTTCTGAAGCATACAGTTCATTGCTTAATGAAATAACGGAGTGATTTTTAGCTATACGTAGACTGTTTTAAAAAAGATCCTAAAAAAAAAAAATCCCTATTGAATCTGGTACACATCTGCCAAGTGCTTTTCTATGAATGACAGCAAACATGTTTGTTTTTTAATCATCCCTTAGCTTTTCATTTCTGATCACATAAAATATTTTTAATCTCTTCCCCAAAGTAAATACAAAAGAAGAGTTTTCGGTATTTAATGAGATTAACTCAACTCCCTAAAGCAATTGTGTTTGTTCAGGAAACTGAGCATTTCATTTTCAAATATGCTTCCATCCAATTGTCCGTCAGCTGTTTTTGGTAAGGCCCTTGATAATGTGGTAACATAGAGGACACTGTCCCCAGAGTGTGCTGTCCCTGGCACTGTCTTGCTAGACCCTGTGGCACGAGCACAGGGTGCTGAATGCCCTCCACCTTACTAGACATCCGGGTCAGGTAAGTGAATCCAGTCGCTCTATTTCTCTGGTGCCCTCCTCAGGTAAAAGGAACACCCAAGGAATCTAGACAAGTAAAATGTTGTATTCCAGAATTTTGTTTTTTGAAACAATTTTTTGGTTGTTGATTTACCACTGATTGGCAGGAGGCCAGCTTCACAGTAAATGCATTAGCTGCGACTTACGTACCACCTGTGATTTTCCTCCCACCCCCTTCATCAACTCCTTTGGTAACCTATGCTACACATTGTTCACAGGGGCTTAGAGTTATATTTATTGTGATTTGCTAACTCATTTGCTTTGGTTATTTGTATGTCACATTTGACATGCACATTTGATGTCTACTTTCACTTGTTGACTTACTTTGCATATCTTAATTTTCAAGTCAAATTAATCTGTATTTTGAATATTCTGGCCAAATCAAAATTTACCTCCTAATTTATCTTTATTCTTAACAAAGTAATATCAGTCCCTTTATTACTCTGCTCACTCCAGGGTATTTATATAAATATGGTCAGAAGGTATCCATTAAAGAAAGGACCACTTCTTGTAGGTTGTAGCTTTATCTGTGCTTCTTTCAACTCAGTAATGTCTGCCTCTCAAAGAAGATTCATCAACAAGTGCTATTTTTACTCCTGTCATAAACTGAAAAGATAGACATATTTTATTAGAAGATTTGCAAGAAGAAGCCGGTATATATATGTTTAGGTGCCTGTTCTCTGTTCACAAAGATAAAGATACTTTTCTCTGACCTCAATTTGCTTTTCACTTGATTTATAAAAATATAGTGTCCTTGGGCCCTCCCTGGTGGCACCGCAGGTTAAAGCACAGCACTACAAAGCTAAAGCCATTTCAGCATGAGTTCAATTCCCAGCCAGGGAGATGACCCACATGGCACAGCAGACCTCTCCTGACCCGCCCGCTGCTCCCCTTAGCAGTGTTCCTCATCAGTCAGCCTGTTCTACTCCCCACTCTGTCTCTGGTGAATCCTCTCACCCTCTACATCTCTAGCCTGTATACCCCAGTTCTGTATTCATAAATAAATACATCTTTAAAACAAAAAGAAAGCAAGCCTATTTGCTTCTTATAGTGATTATGTGATGAGAGACTAATAAATGGACATTCACCTGTCACTTATTTTTTATTACTGAGGATAAAACTAACCCAAGTAAGTAGCTAAACACCCAGCCAAAATGGGCACCAAGATAGATTACTTTAATCAACATCTCTGCCCGTGTCATAGTCTGCAACAAAATAGGTTTCCCAGGATGCACATTACACGAAATACAGATGGAGGTAATATACTTATTTCAGTACCTTGGGCTTCCTGTAGACTGGCTGTAATTCAGGCCTGTGCTAAGTGCCTCATTAGATCATAATTCCTAAAAGTTTGATGCATCTGTTTGATTTCCTAAAAATATAGTTGAAAGTGATACATATTTTTATAGCCTTCTGGATTAATTCCACTTATGTGCTTTTGCTCTTCTTCTTCAAATACTTGCTTTTGGGAATATAGCTTAGGGGTAGAGCATTTGACTGCAAAAACTGGCCTTTTATTTAGTGATGTGAAGCACTATCACTATTGGTCAAATGACTTGTCTTATTCTCTGATGAATTTAAAACCATTCAGAAGAGTAATTGATGCCTAATCAAAGCACTCCTCATGAACCAACAGTCTGGTAAATGCCAAGTAGTTGCCTATTACATTTTCATGAGTAGGTAGCTTGCTTGAAACTGCTTTTTAAAGTCAGTGTCCCACATCTGTCTCAAAATCCTTTATAAGATTACTGAAAACTCAGATCCTTGCCCATTGAAACCATATGGATAACCAGACTTTTTTCCTTTCTCCCAGGATACACTGGAAGTATGTTCCAAGGAACAGGAGTTTAAAAGCATCCTCTTTTCTCTGTGCTACTTCCATGCCTGTGTTGCCGGAAGATTGAGGTTTGGCCCACAGGGCTGGAGCCGAAGTTACCCCTTCAATCCCGGAGACCTCACCATTTGTGCCAATGTCCTCTACAACTACTTAGAGGCAAACCCTAATGTAAGTGCCAGTGGTCAGACAACCTTCTGCAGCATGTACTGAATCTGTCACTCTTTGGGTACTGTCAAAGTGGACCATAATTTCTCTTTTGAAGCTATTACTGAAATAGCTGACACTATGTATACATCTTCTGCCAAGTGTGAAAAGAAACCAGATCAAAGGTTTTTCTAGCAGTGGAAGCTTGTACTTCCTAAGATAGGTCAAACCAGTTCTACATCAACAGCTTAGTGCAAGTAAAAAAAAAAAAAATGTCCTTCATTATGTTAACAAAAACAGTGGTTTACATGTGCATATATGCCAGATTCATTAGGCAGGTAATGAAGCATTTGCACAAATGTAATTACATACAGCAATTCTGACAGTTCATAACACTGCATTAATAATCACTACAATTAGTTCTGATGATGGAAGCAATTTACAGCGCGTCACATGTATAAATAATGGTGCATTTCCTGCATATGTCATTATTATGTATTAAGGATGCCACCTTGTTGTGACTTTCTCAGTAACGTTCCCCTTGGTTTGAAGTTAAAGGTAGATGAATGATTTTATTTCATAGTTAAAATGTATCTTACAGATAGGAATGGGAGTGCTTCATCAAGAACATTTGTGTAAACTCCTATAAAACTGATGATTGGACTTTAAAAAGGAAGAACCATTCCTAAGAATTTTCTACCTTAGTCCTCACATGAGGAACTTTTCATATTAAGTTAAATCTGTTAAAATTGAGATATATCTGTCAAAGCCCAGCTAGGTGCATGCCGTGCTTTAGGGCACATGTTCTATAAAGAGCCTTTAAAATAGCACATTCTTGTTTCTACTTAAAAAAATAGATGCTTTATGTTTTTTTGCTGACCATTGTTACAGTTTTTGTTACCAAAGTTTTCTCAAGTTTCAGAGGTGAACTGACTGCTATTAGAATATGTTTATGTGGTACCTAAGACAGGTCTGTTTGTTCAAGAAACACGTTTTGAATAAACTGTACCCAAAATACATGGTTTAATAGGTTATATGATGATCAGTCTTCCACATATATCATTTTAATATATGAAATTAAAGGGTAAATCTGCATATTTTTAGTATATTTTGATCATTATGAGAAATACTTGGGATACTCTCAACATTTTGGTGAAAATGTTGCATGTGAAATGGATTTCAATAGCTTGGGGTCGAAAAAGACATGAACATTTAATACTTTTACCCAAATCTTGTATAACTGGGACAGGTGGCTAAGACCAGGAAACCTGCCCCGTTTGAGTGAAATCCTTGACACAATTGAGGTAAAATGAGAGGGAGAAAGAAGTTGACACTTGCATTTTTCCCCAACTCCCGCACCCAAGGTGTGGCAGGGCCAGTTGACCAGTTGAATTGTGACATGTCCTGCCACTTCTGTTGCTATTCTAGGATCCATGCAACCTTAGGTTTTCACCACACTCTCTTCTGTCTTTCTTATATCTTGACCCAACATTTGCCACATATTGCAGAGCAAGTTGCCAGGATTTGGGGATTAAGTTATTATGTGCATAGAGTTTGGATCTACAAAATGGTCTTCCAAACATTCTTTAAAATGTATAAAACCAAGATTGGGACTTGGGAAAAGAGAATTAATTATTGAAAAGGACAAATCCCTAGCCTATTAAAATCTTGAGGGAGATACGTGTTAGATGCTAAAATATATAGCAGGCATTAATTAAAGGTAATCAGAAAGGGGAATAAAATGAGGAAGTCTTAGTTTCCCATCCATCCCTGCTAGATGGAAGGTAGGCCATGGGGTAGTTGAAAGACCATGGTGCCCTCTTGTCAGTTTGGATTTTTCACTCACATTAAACTGGCTTAAAAGAAAGACATATTGGAGGTTCATTTATTCAAATTCAAATAAACTTGTAGCAAGTACATTGGAATAGTTGAAGCAATTTTACTTGTTCTGTCACATCATGCAACAAATGAAGGCTATAATTAAGTTTTTACTTGAACAGTTGGGAGGTAATATACTGGCCCCGAGGGTATAAAGGTTCCTGACTAGAAAGGCTTCATCATAAACTGGCATGTTTTGCAAACCCAGAGGAAGCTAAAGGGTAGCAAAGAGAGACTTCAAACTCTGCTAAGTCAAATAAAGAGGAGATACGTGATTTCTTGACTCAACTACAGCACTGTCATCAGTTATAACCCTCAGAACAATTGTGCAGGCCAGTCATAAACCAAACCCTGAAATCAATCTGTGGCAAAGGGACTGGCTTGCCTGGACTTTGGTAAGGTGATAAAATTCAAAATACACCTCAAATTCAAATTATATGGGATTTTCTTTCTCTTCTACACCAGATCATAAAACCATGTCATACGTCAAAGACCCTGTGAAATAATATCCCTCGTGGTTTTTGCATGAGACCTCGAATATGTAAACTTTCCCTACATAACATGGTCTAGGAATTAATTTTTCATTAAAAGCTCAGTGTTAAGTGAATTTTCACTGAATGTACTAAAAACACTGAAAATCATTCTCCTAAGAAGCACTTTGTAGAAGTTTTGACAATTTCTGAATCTTTTAAGTGTTGCTGTTTGGGGGGCCTGGGAGGTTGGGCTTTGTGTTCAAGAGACCAGTGAGGTCTGTGCCACTGGCTGGCTGCTCTGAGGCAGACGCTCTGCATCCAGAAGTGAGGATTTGCATACTTTCCCCAGGTCCCGTGGGAAGACCTCCGGTACCTATTTGGTGAGATCATGTATGGGGGCCACATCACAGATGACTGGGATCGCAAGCTGTGTCGTGTGTATTTAGAAGAATTTATGAATCCTTCTCTGGTAAGACTTTTTAATTCATTTCACTGAGGAAAAAAGGCTGGAAAAGATTTTTAAAACTAATTTCACTATATAGAAAATTCTTGAATGGCATGGAGGATTCTTGGTCTTTTGTGAATGGATTCTGGCCCACCTTCAGGAGAGTTTGGAAATTTCTTAGAAATGTAAAATCATTAAAAAAAATTAAGTAACATAACATTGCGTGTAACTTTATATGAGTTGCAGGCATGCTCTTCAAAAACTGAGGTGTACAGATTCAAAACCACACTAAATGTGCGGCTGAAACCACAGCTGGGCCATATACCAAACATAAATACCTGGAGAAGCTAAGATGATCCCTGTAGGAGTGAGAATGTGCCAATGTGCACCTTCTCGCCATACTGATCACTGGGTTTTCAGCCCTACAAAGTATACAGAACTGACACTGTGACCCATTTACTAGACAAAAGGACTGAGGAGTGGTGCTTTGCCCCAGGGCACTCAGTTATCACGGGCAGAGCAGAGCCCTGACCGAGATAAGAGGTCTGTGGATTGGAGGCTCCTAGATGAGTGACTTTACAGTTTTCACAGAGCAAGGCTGTGTCTGTGGCAGAAGCACTCATTGTTATTTTCTATGTTGAAACTGCCAAAGGTGGAAGGCACATTCTCCTCGGTGCCTTCTCTCTAGATGTTTCCAGGTTTGTGGCCATTGCCTGCTCTCTTTTTGAAACCTAAGGTACCCTACACTCTGCTTGGGTGAGACACCTAAACCTCCCTGTTGGGTGAGACACCAAACATGCTTACAGCATTGCCACATAAATACTTTTTAATTGCTTGAGCAACCTCTTGCTTATAATTTCTCTGAGAAGTTCATTTCATAAAAGCATGGCATAATTTTGATCAAGTCCATTTTTTACATGTCCATTTGTATGAATATAAACATAAGACATGATAGATTATACTTTAAATGTACAAAATTCGAGACAGATTTTTTTTATTATTAATGTTTAACTATGTGGAGACAATGCAGGAAAAAAAAAAAAAAACTTTCCTTCCATGTGACCACTATGTTTCTTTGGCTTGTGAGTTTCTTGGTCTTTCCCTTGTTCTAATAAATAGGATTTCACAGGTCAGAAAGACAATTTCAGTTTAACACAATTGGAAGTCACTCCTCAGAGGAGGTCTGGAGCAGGTTACCATGGAGATGGGAAAGATAAACAGTGTTGGCACACGACCCTTCTAGAGGCTGATTTCTCCAAATGATGGTGGAGGTCGAGGGGCAGAGCGAACAGCAAGGCTGATGGTCCCTCTCTGGCTGTGGCCTGAGGAAAAGGAGAGAATTACTGTTGCCAAATGAGACAGTCCATTAACCTTCACAGGTCTGAACTCCCATTCAAATAATTGTAAAATAAGTACAGATGATGTAACTTGAGGGCCATCACTGGTGTGTCTTTTAGCCTTTTAGAATTTAGGTGTCCACCCTTCCTTGCAGACCTGTGAAATTTTCAGTATGAAAATGCTTCATTTACAGTCTTTTATCTTCATTGGCCAGTGCTACCTTTCCGGATCACTAAAGCAAAAATTAAAACACTTGTTGAATTGGTGTCCGATGCTTCCAAATCCCTGTTATTTTGTTTGGATGCACATTTGTCCTGCTCGTACTTGGACAATGTTTATAAGGAAACCGATCCAGCATTTAGCATCCGCAGGACATCTTTTGTCATTTCTCCTATAGGGTTAACTTACTTGGAAATTAGTGTCTCTGGTTGCATTGGAATGTGATTAAAAAAAAAAAAAAGCAGCCCATTAATGGTGGCATTCGAAGTCCTGCTGCTCTTAAGTAAGGAACTAGAATACTCTCAGGAACACTGCCCTGTTAGGAGGATAGCTGAGTTTCTTGTTAAATGATTGAGGTGCACTCAGGTTCCCTAATGCTGACGTACGTATGACGTACGTAAGGGTCTCTGGCCAAAGTTAGGGTAGGAGCCATTTTCCTGTGCAAGCCACGCACTTGTTAGTGCTAAACAAGTAGTCCAGTAAATTTGTTTTTGGAAATAAGGTTTCAAGTCACCAGAAAGTTGTCATATATTTAAAACCATCTTAGTGATCTAGAGGAACAATTCAGAGATTTGGAAGTTAAAAAAAAAAAAACACCTGGCTTCAAATTCTGTTCTGCCTTACATTTGCTCAGCTTCACGACAAATCGCTCAGCTTCATGCCAAATCAAATCAAGACTGGCTCAGCCTATGGTCTGGCTGTATTGGTAAAAGAAAATGCTTGACAAATGGAAGGTAGTTTTATTATCTTGAAGTAGACATTTTCATAACGTATTTCATACTTTACTATGCTTTATTTAATCTGCGATAACCCTGGAAACCATTTATGAAATTCCTCTTTGTGTCTAGGTGAGTGTTATGTAGTTCATGTGCACTATTTCTTGTCTCTACTACAATCCTGCAAAGAAGGTAATATCCCATTTAATAAAAAAACTGATCTTCAGAGGTCGAATGGCCAGCGAGTAGCAAAACCAGCCTTGAGCTCCCAGTCGCACCCCGATGGCCATGTGCTGTGGGTGGGGCCCCTGGCCTGACTGAAGCTGATCAGTGGCGGGGGAGGGGGGGGGCGCGCACAGGTCACGTCAACATTGATGGTGCCTCTGAGAACAACTCTGGGCGATACCGGAGGACAGAGTTCTAGTTTGTGCTGCGCCACTAACTTCCTGTCTAGCTTTCCCGCAGGACGACCCTTTGCTTATTTAGTCATAAAATGAAGCATTATCTGATGACCCCATGATAATGTCCTCCAACTGGGAATTATTTCTGAAAATCCCTGATGCATTCTGGGGCCCTGGCACAGGGCCACCAGGGTGAAAGCAGTTGTTGACTCAGTACAGGGAGCTGTGCGGTATAACCAGGACCACCAGGAGAGGCAATGGAGCAGCTGGGCCTTTCACTCAGTGCCACAAAGGAAGGGCAGGACAAAGTAGCAGGACAACCCCAAAGGGTCTGTTCGCTTTTCCCATTTCTAATTGTGCCCGACACTGACTTCTGCAAAGATGACCTCAAATCCCTTAGGACTTATCTACCGCTGCACGATTCCACTGATTCATTTAAAAACAGCCTTATTGAATTATAACTCACATCCCATCGATGTACCAATTTAAATCGGTTTACTGTATTCACAGTAGTGCGGGCCTCACCACAACCTAGCTTAGAGCATCTTCATCATCCCGAAGGAAAACGCTGTGCCCACCAGCAGTCACTGCCATCCCTGCCTCTCAGTCTGCACCCACGGCTCGGTTTTCAGTCACCTGTTTCTTCTGGGCATTTCACAGAAATGGAATTATAAAATATGTGGCCTTTTGTGTCTGACATCATTCACTTAGCTGAATGATTTCAAGGTTCACCCATACTAGAGCATGTATCAGCATTTCATTCCTTTCTATGGCCAAATATTCAAATGGATACAGTTCGCTTTGCTTATCCATTCATCCAGGCATGGGCATTTGGGCTGTTTTCACTTTTCGGCTATTGTGAGGAATGCTGCTCTGAACATTCATGGACAAGTGTCTTTCCATTTCTGTGGACTCATGAAACACTTGGTTAATATTTTGAGGAGCCATCAAAATGTCTTCCAAAGGGATTATACTGTCTTATATCCCCACCAGCAACATAGTCACACAGTCCGTATCTTGATAGCACTGTTGGTGTCCACAGTTTTTATTTTAAACATCTTGGTGCGGGGTGAAGTGTTTAATTAACTGATTCAAGAAAATATACCTACTTAACTGACTGGAAAAACAACAAAAAAAAATTATAACTAAGCCAGCAATTTCAGCTGGAGTGATGGTGGCATGGTATGGCTTTGAATTGTATTACCCTGAAGACTCAGGCTGTTGAGCATCCTTAATGGCTGTGTGTCTGCTTTTAAAGAAAAGTTATTTAGAGCTAGCACGTCCTAGAGACATTACAGCAACCTTTCAAACTGCTCTTCCTCCCCCCTGAGCTTGGAAAGAGGCCACAATGTGGAGAGCACCACAGTCCAGCCCCACCAGCAAGGAGCAGCTTTCACAGAGCCCTGGAGTGCAGCAGGGGATGGACTTCAGAGTACTTGAAGTCTTCACAGTTTTCTCAAAGGAGGAAAAGACAGCTCTCTAAACCAAGCTTGCTTTTCAGACTTAGCTTGCTTGACAACGAACTAGGACTTTATAGTAGGATTTCCTCAGGTTTTATTTTTCCTCTAAAAATCTCCAGATGTCCTTAAAGTAATCACTCCTTCTAGTGCAGGGCAGACAAACTACCATCTGTAAAAGCTGGCGGTGTCTCTGGCTGTTGCCATACTTTGCCATTAAATCATCACAGCCACAATCAGGAAGTTGTTACACACCCCAGTTTACTGAAGGGGTTGCAGTGTAGGCAAACTCATTTTTTATGTCCACCAAACCCTTCCTCAAGGATGGGAAGTGAACCAGACTATAAGCCAAGGGCCTCCCCCTGAGTTTGCTGTTTCTCTTTACTTTCTGACTAGGGAGCAGAAGACGTTTGTTGTAGCTGTGAACTGACTGCCTAATTCTCTTTCTAGAAGTCATGGCCATGTGCAGCCCCACCAGCACTGTCTAAGCACCACCCTGGTCCTCTCCACATTTCAGCATTTCTAAGTGCTCCATTTTGGGTGTTTTGACTTGAAACTTTTAACTTTAAGGACAAATGACCAATGGCTTTTAAACTTTTTTCATCTATAAGCACAGGGAAGACCAAGTCCTTGTTTACAGGAAATACAGTTTGAATGTGGTTAACTCTTACTTTTACTATTCATACTTGGTGCTCATGTTTTTATGTTGCCTCACCTAGCTATCAGAGGCTAATAAAGGGGAGTTTCAGTCTCCTTCACAGTATGGTTTTGGTCACCCTGAGTGAGATGAAATTTAAATTTGAAAGTCTTTGTTACATAAATAATAAAGACAAATGCCAACAGTTGAACAATTGAATAATAAAACAAGTCAAGTTAGTGGATATTAATAGTGAGATCATCCAGGTTGATTCTTCTCATACTCATCAAGATGTTTGTTCTGGTTTTATAAAAGACTGGATTTTCTGACAATCCTAGTACAAAAGAAAAATAGAAATGCTAAAAAAAATAGAAATGCCAACTCAACATTTTAAATGTCTTTTGGGATTCCCACTCAGCATTGTCTCGTGGATATGGGCTCAGTGGGTGTCTGGAATGGCACAGTTGAGCAGGGAGGAACACATCACTGTTACAAATGACAAGTAGAAAAACCACACAGGTTTGTCCTGACTTCCTTAATAGGTCATATGAATCTCTTATACTTCCAAGGCTTGCTGAGGACACTGGGTGCTCAGGACCTGTTCCTGAGGGACATAACATTCACTCCTGCAAGTCTCTTCTGTTGAGCTATACTGCAGGTGTTATGGTGTAACTTACGGTTATAAATCTCATTTTCAGAAAAGTAAAAATGTAGGCATTAACTACATTAGGTAATAGTTTCTTTTTTTCAATCTCTCTGTACATCTGAGGAAAGATTGGATTTATAGTAGGAAAAAGTGGTATAGTTAAAGCAGAGGTATTTCGAGGCCCAGGGAACTAAAGAACACTGGAGGGAAGAATCTGAAATTACAATAAACTAGAAAATTGTTAGGTGCTGTCTGATCAGAGACAGGTCTGTGAATTCTTTTGTTGCATTTTTGTTTTTGAAGAACTACATTGTAGCATTTAGGTTTGGTGTTGCTGCTCATATTACCTTCTTAAAGAGCATCCTCCAATGTGGAAAGTCTGGTTTCTTCACAACCTTCAAGTGGGCGTGCCCCATACCGGCCTTGGGCCTTGGCATGCTCAGCCCGCGGATGTGCATGGCCCTGTCCCAAGGGCTGTGTGCACCTCCTGGGATGAGCAGCACTGACTCTGTCTGAGGAGCCCCTGGTGGGGAGGTGGTGTTGCCTTTGACCCTCAGTATCTACTGCTCTGCAGACCATTATACAGGTTACATAGTTTTCCACATATGTACATATAGTTATATCTGTTTATGCAATTTCTGTGCATTGTATAAAAAAGAACTTGAAGCGCTATGTTTTTGAAAGGAATGGCACCCTGGGAGAGCTCAGGCTGTGCAATCCTATTCGAAGTTCAGAGTCCACATTAACATCTGTCTGGGCCAGTTCCTCTGGGTCAGTTTTTCTCTACACCTTAGAGATGCTTGAGAGAATCAATGATGCATGTAACTGGGTGGCCAGAACACAGAAGGGGGCTAGCACCTGCTCGCCCATGTGCCTGTATTGCATTCTACGTGAGTCTCCAGGCAGAAATCCTCCCCAGGTCAGCCTGGTGTCAGACACAGAATGAAGGGTTGATTGCCAAAGGTTCAGCATTGTACTGGGGCCTTATAAGAACGGTCCCAAATTGGGAGCAATGATGGGTGCCCATTTAGATCTGAAATAACCAATTTTCCCTTCTTTGTGGCTAAAGATAGAAGATGAACTAATGCTGGCACCTGGATTTGCAGCCCCACCAAATCTTGACTATCAGGGCTACCACCAGTACATAGAGGAGAGGCTTCCTCCAGAGAGCCCAGCCCTGTACGGCCTCCACCCAAATGCTGAAATAGAGTTCTTGACTGTGATGTCCAACACGCTCTTCAGAACTTTGCTGGAGATGCAGCCCAGCCACGCGCTCAGCAGTGAGGAGCTGGGGCAGTCCATGGAGGAAAAGGTAGAGGTCTGTCTGCTCATGGGGCATAGCGTGCAGATAGTGAAATGCTTTAAGTCTAGACAACGCGATGGGCTTTTACCTTTGTTATACACCCGTAAAACCACTCAGATTAAAATATGAACCATCCCAGGTCTCTGGGAGGATACTCATCCCCCTTACCAGGTAACACACCCATTCCCCGCCCAGGGTAGCTGCTCTCCTCACCTGTCACCCACCTGTCACAGTAGATTAGCTTTACCATATCAGTGGTGCACACATTCAGTTGTGGCTGGCTCCTTTCACGCCACATTTGTGAGATTCATTACCATTGTGGAATCTCATTTTCTTTAGTATTCTGTTATCTCCAGACATTCTACAATGGATGGGCATTTGGGTTGTTACCAGTTTCATGCTTGTGAACATTGTGAACATTTTCTTCTTGTACAGTCTTTTGCCAAGACGAAGTTAGCTCCCAATGTTATCTTAAAATATTCACTTTTCTACACCCAGAATTTGAACTGCTGGATGACAAGGTACAAAGCTGAGCTTTGATGGGTACTCCCAAAAGCTTTCTAGAGTGGTTGGAACAGTTACACTCACACCAACAGTGTGGGAAACTTCCAGCTATTCTTTTTCCTTGTGGTTTTTTAAGGGGGAATGGTATTTCACTGTGGGTTTAACTCTGCATTCCTCCCTTAAATGCTAATGTTGAACATCTTTCCATTTGCTCATGACCAATTAGATACATGTTCACAGGTGTGCTGGTTGCTGGCCCAGCTTTTAATGGATCGTCAAACTTTGTCATGATTTGTAACGTAAACTCTATTCTAAACATGAGTTCTTTATTAGATACATATATTGCAAATATTTTCAAAATTTGTGCTTGCCTTTCACTCTTAATGATATTTGATACATAATTAAGGTTTTTTTTTTAATATATTCCTGGTAGATTGGCACCGTTATTTGAAGGTTTTGGTTTTTTGTTTTTGCCTTTGAATGATGGGGATGAGAAATTGACATGAAACCCTTTTTCTTTTTATATAAAATTAGAATTCTTATCTGGCTTATTTTTCCAATTAGACCTATTTCTAAGAATAATCAAGATTTGATTGACAAGGATCTGGGTTGTTGGAACACACTGTTAGATCTAATTATAACTAGGTCCTAGGAGTTTTCCATAATATTTTTTGAAGATTAAGATATTTGTCTATTACAGAAGCTTTAAGATTTTGCCATGTGCTTTATCCTGTACAGACCTTACCTATATATGGATGCTAAAATTTTAAGGAAGGAAAAAGTTCACTTACTGGGGAAAAAAACTGAAGCATTTGTAGAAGCAGGGAGGTCCTCACCTAGAATTTAGGATACAATCTTCCAACATGGAAGCTTATCATTAAACCAGAACTTGCAAAACTTGAGGTAAATGCTTCCACACCACAGATGGGCAAACAGATTGTAACCACACCACCGACTGGGTGCTTTCTGCTAGGCACCCAGCGATTTACAGATAGGCCATTTAACCCTCAGTAGCTGAGCAGTGTCAGGATCCCTCCTGCAGACTTCAGTTTAGGTTGACTTGCCAAAACCAGACAATTAGAAAGGGCCAATGAGGAAACCACATGCTAGCTAATTCCAAGGCGGTTCTTTCATTCCTCTTCTATGTTGTGTTTTATAATCTGTCACTGTTGTAAATGAATTTAAGTTTCCAGTACCTGACATAATACTTGCCAGAGTGCTAAAGCAACTGATGAACATGTCAGAACCATAAGCAGTAGCCTGAGAAATTAAAGAATGCCAAACAGCCACCCAAGGCAATACTTTCAGTCTTTTTTTTTTTTTTTTTTTTTAGCTATTTGGTTTCCCTGCTCAGCGAAACAGCAGAGACAATAATACACTGATAAGCGCACTTATTCTAGACCTGTTCACACCCTCAATGAAAAGCCTTCTTTTGTCTAGGGCAAGAACTATATAGTAGAGACCTGTTTAGGAAATGTTGATCTGTAACTGTCCCCAGGATTCTAGGACAGTCCGTGGGGAAAGTAGTAGAATAGTCTGGTGACATCTACTTATAGTTGGTGAATTTCTATGTTCCCTAAATGCTAACAGGGAATACAGTGTGAACAAATGGCAGCTCCTCCCTGACTGGACTGTGGGGCCCAAAGAAGGGGAGAGTGCTACACTGACGTAAGGGGTAACTCGCAGCACAACTCGGCCCATCTCCTGGGAGTGGAGGGCTTCTGTTCTACCTCACTTAGGTCTCAGACAAGTCGGCCAGGACTTAAAAATGTGTGTTCACGGATCAGAAAATGAGATAAAGGAGATAAATCTTTGTGTTAATGATTTAAGGTTAAGAATATCTTGGATGACATTTTGGAGAAACTTCCAGAAGAATTCAATATGGCAGATATAATGCAAAAAAACTCAAACAGAAGCCCCTATGTCCTTGTTTGTTTCCAAGAATGTGAGAGGATGAACCTTCTTCTTCAGGAAATACGTGTATCACTTCAACAATTAGACCTCGGTTTGAAGGTAAGTTTAAGTGGGACTGGCGTAAGCTACACCATAGAGACATTCACTATTTGACCTTTCCTCCCTGCCAGGGGGAGCTGCCATTGTCTCCTGACATGGAAGCACAGCTGTCCTCCATGAGTTACGACGTGGTACCAGACACCTGGCGCAAATTGGCCTGTCCATCCACTTACGGCCTGGCCCAGTGGTAAGCTGCCCGGTCCTGGCTCATTCCATGTTTACCTGCTTGGGTGCTGCTCTAGCCTTCTCAACTGTGATTCATAAACGCTTCTACCTGAGACTGCACTCAACCTAAGTTTGCAAACTACCATCGATTTCATTTCAGTTCCTTAGTGGGTTACTTCACAGGCAGAAATGGTTAAAGATGAACAATTCTGCCTCTCACTTACTAGCTATTTGATCTTGGACAAACTGCCTGATGTAATTCTCCAGCTTAGCATCTGAAAGTACTGAACAGGCATGGAAGGCAACTTGAATTTGTTCTTGCATTATTTTATTTTACACCCTTAGTTTTTGAAGCCAGATTATTAAAGCCATTACTAGCCAACTTTACAAGTTAGTAACATGGTAAGCAATCAGATAGCTTTCAGCGAGTGGGCATGACTGCAGATGTGCCATAAAGCCAAGAACAGACATTTACAGCTCCAAGACTAGGGTTTTCTCCAGCTGCTGGTTGGCCATGCCAGACAACGTGGGGCGCTGCTCTCTATTCCCGGCTTTTCAGTCCAGACTCTTTCCTCAAGAACCAGACAGCTCCTCTGGGCTTGACACTGGAAGGTCCCATTAGAATTCCAAGTGTCTGCATGTTACAACTGCAAAGCAGAGCCAGCCTTGGCTTCCTGCTGTTGCCTGAACATTCAAAGTCAGATTTTGTATTTCCAGTTTAAAAATGAGGATTTATATTCATGTAACTTTGGACTTATTCCATCTTATTTTTCGGGTTCCCCAGCTTTTTCTCAGTTGGTTTGTTTTCTTTATTCCATGTTTCTCTCTGTAGTCATTATTCTACCGGAGACTACTGTAACACTTTCCCTTTTTTTTTTTTTTTTTTTACACAACATAAAACCAACATTCTTTCCTTTGGACATTTTAGCTTCCTTCAAAAGTCAGCTCCTCTGGACTGGAGTTACATTTCAACCTCATTTCAGACAACAGTTTTTTTTTTTTTAAGATTTATTTATCTATGCATACAGAACTGGGGCACAGGCCAGAAGTGTGGGGGCAGTGAGAGGATTCACCAGAGACAGAATGGGGAGCAGGACAGGCCAACCTACGAAATACACTGCCAAGGGGAACAGCAGGCAGGTCAGAAAAGGGCTGCCACTCCATGAAGATCACCTCCAGGCCCAGGACTAAACTCATGCCGAAGTGGCTCCAGCTTCTCAGTGCTGCGCTTTAACCTGCTGCACCACCAGGGAGGGCCCAAACTTTTTTTTTATGTTTTCTAAAATCTTTATTTGAAAAATATTTTTAGTTT